CCCTCCAGGGAACTTTAAACTATAAATAGCTGTGTTGTCTTTAAGCCACCAGGTTTGTGGCAATCTGTTATAGTAGCCATAGCGGAACTACACGGCCGTGATCATCTGAAGTAATTTATCTTTTAGCAGAGAGAATTTTACAATAGAGATTTATGTGATTCTTTCTTTCTTTTTTATTTTAAATTTTTTTTTTTTTTGAGACAGAGTCTCGGCGCTTTGTTGCCCAGCTAGAGTGTGCCGTGGCGTCAGCCTAGCTCACAGCAAACCTCAAAACTCCTGGCTCAAGCAAAAAATCTCTCCTGCCTCAGCCTCCCACGTAGCTGGGATACAAGGCATTGCACACATGCCCGGCTAATTTTGTTATATTAGTTGGCCAATTAATTTCTTCTATTTATAGTAGAGAGGGGTCTCGCTCTTGCTCAGGGCGGTTCGACACCCTGACTTGAGCAATCCGCCCGCCTTGGCTCCCAGAGGAGCTAGGGATTACAGGCGTGGAGCCACGGCCGGCTTTTTTTTTTTTTTTTTTTTGCAATCACACAAGAAGGGTTTATTTTCTGGCTAGCCAGGGTCAAGGCCCCAGAGCACCAACGCAGTGGCACTCTCCACAGAGCAAGGACCTCTTTCTTTCTTTCTTTGAAGGAAGGGAACCAGAGGTAAGAAGAGAATAGAACCAGAACATGGGGGGAAACCCCAGGAGAGGCCTGTGTAGACAATCCCGGGAGAGAAAGCATGACAGGCTGGCATGGGGGGGTCAGGGGGTTGTGGAGAGAAGGAGGTAGATTCCAGATGTTTAAGGACTCACTGATGGGTCAGTTTGGAGAAGCGGGCAGGCAGATCACTTAGATAAGACATGCTGGGGACAGGCATTCTATCTGAACCATTTGTATGGCTCCATATGTTGGGTTAGGGTTACTTTGGGGACATCAGAAATGGTTGTAGGCTCAGGAAGGAGGATGACTTGAAGCCAAGTTCAAGACCAGCCTGGGCAATGTGGTAAGATCATGTCTTACAAAAAATAAAAAAAATAAGCTGGTCCTGGTGTCGTGCACTGTAGCCCCAGCTACTCGGAAGGCTGAGGCGGGAGAATTGCTTGAGCCCTGAAGTTCAAGGCTGCAGTGAGCTATGATGACACCACTGCACTCTAGCCTGGGTGACAGAGCCGAGACCCTGTCTTGAATAAGAAAAGAGAAGAGAAAAGTAAAAGGTGTAAATGTCAGACGAGCGCTCCGGTCGGGCCCCCACACACAGCCGAGGCACTCACGCGGAACGCCTGTGCTGAGACAGAAGCCACGCAGGCTCGAACAAGTCTGGAGAATCTTCTAGAAGGCTCAAGTTCTTTGGGAACCTGAGTTCAACCTGGTTCCATCTCAAGTGCCAAGTAGGTCGGTCACAGGAGAAAATAGGAAGCTTTGTTTATTTTTTCTTAGGCAGTTGAGTTTATTTTCAGGTTAGCGACAGTTTGGAGTTCCCTTCCCCAGTGAGGTTCAGGAGTGAGGGGGGCAAGTAGCCCAGGGGGCTGGCCTCTTTCCCAGGCGTGGGCGGTTCGCAATTCCTATTCGCCCACGGTTCTGACCCGAAGAGGGCCGCCCTGGAGCAGCACAGGAACACTTGGCTTTCCTACGGAATCAATTCACTTCCGCAGAGCTTTTTTGTAAACAGCATGTGGCCAGCACCTTGGGAGCCTATTGAAAGCAGAGCACCTCACACACGGTCTCGGCAGCTGCCAGTAACGAGAACGCTGTGGTCAGTACTCTCTTCCTCTCCTTAGAATTGCACCTCCTCGATCGCGTGAGCCCAGGAGTTCAAGGCTTTCCATGAGCTATGGTTGCACCACTGCACTGCAGCCTGGGTGACAGAGCAAGACCTTGTCTCTTAAAGTAATAAATAATAATAATAGTAGAATGGCAGCTGCAGGAGGATAAACATGGGTCAATGGCCTGAGCAAGCTTGGGAGGTTTCGTTTTTTCCACAATTCACTTTCTGAACCAGCCTATAACCCTTCCATTCCAGTTATCTTTCTGGGAGAGAGCAGCATTTTATCTTCCATAAAGCCAAAGGCTGAGAAAATCCCCGTAGCCCTAGCCCTTGTTCCTGGGGTCACAGGGTGGCCTGGCTTCGCCCTGTTGTCCCAGAGTGGTGTTGATGGTGACAGCTTTCACCGTCTGGTGTTCTGTGTGGACGATAAATCAATAAACCACCCAGCTGCCCAGTGACTCATTCTATAGGAAGCACTATCATTTTTTTTTTAAAAGATGTCTATTTTTTATCCAGTTCTTTTCACACCTGAGTTCTCTTATTTTTCCTAAATCATGGGTCCCCCCAATGGTGAGTTGTACATTATTTCGTTATATATGACAATGTAATAATAATAGAAATAAAGTTCACAATAAATGTGATGTGCTTGAATCATCCCGAAACCATCCCTTCCTCCCTGGCACATGAAAAAATTGTCTTCCATGAAAATGGTCCCTGGTGCCAGAAAGGTTGAGGACTGCTGCTAAATGTTTTACGTATATTTCTTGGATTTTTGCAGTGCTTGTTTTTTTTAAGTAAAAATTCAGTGGTTTTTAGCATAGTCACAAAGTTATACAAGGATTACCACTGGCCGGGCGCGGTGGCTCACGCCTGTAATCCTAGCACTCTGGGAGGCCAAGGCGGGCGGATTGCTCAAGGTTAGGAGTTTGAAACCAGCCTGAGCAAGAGCGAGACCCCGTCTCTACTATAAATAGAAAGAAAAATTAATTGCCAACTAATATATAGGAGAAAAGATTAGCCGGGCATGGTGGCGATGCTGTAGTCCCAGCTACTCGGGAGGCTGAGGCAGAAGGATGGCTTGGAGCCCAGGAGTTTGAGGTTGCTGTGAGCTAGGCTGAAGCCACGGCACTCACTCTAGCCTGGGCAACAAAGCGAGACTCTGTCTCAAGAGGAGCAAGGCTGAAGGAACCAAAATGGTCAACTGCCTGCCCGCCATGACCGATATGCATGAAGTCTCCACTTCATTTATAAAGACTGGCGAAACGATATGGCACCTCCTCAAAAAGTGAAACATGGAGCGACCGTGTGGCCCAGCAATTCCACTGCTGGGTGGTGTATACCCCCACCTATGGAACTTGTAAATGAATCTTCATAGCCGCATCACTCCCAGTGGCCAAAAGGTGGAAACCACTAAATGTCTATCAACAGATGAATGGATCAACCCAAATGCAGTATATATATATATATATATCCACACACGGAATATTATTTAGCCACGAAAAAGAACGAAGTACTAATTCATGCTACAACATGGATGAGCCTTGAAAACACCGTGCTCAGTGAAAAAAATGGCTGCATTTATGTGAAGTAAACCAGAATGGGCAAATATGCAGTCAGAAGTAGATCAATGGCTGCCAAGACTGCAGAGTGACTGCTCATGGGCATGGGGTTTTATCCAGGGCGATGAAAAGGTTCTAGAATAAGACAGTGGTAATCCTTGTATAACTTTGTGACTATGCTAAAAACCACTGAATTTTTACTTAAAAAAAAAAAAAAACATGCACTGCAAAAATCCAAGAAATATACGTAAAACATTTAGCAGCAGTCCTCAACCTTTCTGGCACCAGGGACCATTTTCATGGAAGACAATTTTTTCATGTGCCAGGGAGGAAGGGATGGTTTCGGGATGATTCAAGCACATCACATTTATTGTGAACTTTATTTCTATTATTATTACATTGTCATATATAACGAAATAATTGTACAACTCACCATTGGGTGGGGACCCATGATTTAGAGGAAAAATAAGAGAACTCAGGTGTGAAAAAGAACTGGATTAAAAAAAATAGACATCTTTTAAAAAAAAAAGTGATAGTGCTTCCTATAGAATGAGTCACTGGGGCAGCGTGGGTGGTTTATTGATTTATCGTCCACACAGAACACCAGACGGTGAAAGCTGTCACCATCAACACCACTCTGGGACAACAGGGCAAAGCCAGGCCACCCTGTGACCCCAGGAACAAGGGCTAGGGCTACGGGGATTTTCTCAGCCTTTGGCTTTATGGAAGATAAAATGCTGCTCTCTCCCAGAAAGATAACTGGAATGGAAGGGTTATAGGCTGGGTTCAGAAAGTGAATTGTGGAAAACGAAACCTCCCAAGCTTGCTCAGGCCAGTGACCCATGTTATCTCCTGCAGCTGCCATTCTACTATTATTATTATTATTACTTTAAGAGACAAGGTCTTGCTCTGTCACCCAGGCTGCAGTGCAGTGGTGCAACCATAGCTCATGGCAGCCTTGAACTCCTGGGCTCACGCGATCGAGGAGGTGCAATTCTAAGACGAGAGGAAGAGAGGTACTGACCACAGCGTTCTCGTTACTGGGCAGCTGCCGAGACCGTGTGTGAGGTGCTCTGCTTTCAATAGGCTCCCAAGGTGCTGGCACCACCTGCTGTTTACAAAAATCAGAGTGAGGAGTGAGACTCTCGGAAGTGAATTGATTCCCGTAGGAAAGCCAAGTGTTCCTGTGCCTGCTCCAGGGCTGGCCCTCTTCGGGTCAGAACCGTGGGCGAATAGGAATTGCGAACCGCCCACGCCTGGAAAGAGCCAGCCCCCTGTGGCTACTTGCCCCCCTCACTCTGACCTCACTGGGGAAGTGAACTCCAAACTGTCGCTAACCTGAAAATAAACTCAACTGCCTAAGAAAAAATAAACAAAGCTTCCTATTTTTCTCTGTGACCAACCTACTTGGCACTTGAGATGGAACCAGGTTGAACTCAGGTTCCCAAAGAACTTGAGCCTTCTAGAAGATTCTCCAGACTTGTTCGAGCCTGCGTGGCTTCTGTTCTCAGCACAGGCGTTCCGCTGCGATGTCTCGGCTGTGTGTGGGGGCCGACCCGCGAGCCGCTCGTCTGACATTTACACCTTTTACTTTTCTCTTCTCTTTTCTATTCAAGACAGGGTCTCGCTCTGTCACCCAGGCTAGAGTGCAGTGGTGTCATCATAGCTCACTGCAGCCTTGAACTTCAGGGCTCAAGCAATTCTCCCGCCTCAGCCTTCCGAGTAGCTGGGGCTACAGGTGCACGACACCAGGACCAGCTTATTTTTTTTTATTTTTTGTAGAGACATGATCTTACCACATTGCCCAGGCTGGTCTTGAACTTGGCTTCAAGTCATCCTCCTTCCTGAGCCTACAACCATTTCTGATGTCCCCAAAGTAACCCTAACCCACATATGGAGCCATACAAATGGTTCAGATAGAATGCCTGTCCCCAGCATGTCTGTATCTAAGTGATTTGCCTGCCGCCTTCTCCAAATCTGACCCATCAGTGAGTCCTTAAACATCTGGAATCTACCTCCTTCTCTCCACAACCCCCTGACCCACCCCATGCCAGCCTGTCATGCTTTCTCTCCCCGGATTGTCTACACAGGCCTCTCCTGGGGTTTCCCCCCATGTTCTGGTTCTATTCTCTGCTTACCTCTGGTTCCCTTCCTTCAAAGAAAGAAAGAAAGAATCACATAAATCTCTATTGTAAAATTCTCTCTGCTAAAAGATAAATTCCTTCAGATGATCACGGCCTGGTAGTTCCCTATGGCTACTATAACAGATTTGCCACAACCCTGGTGGCTTAAGACAACACATATTTATTATTTTAAAGTCCTGGAAGGAAGAAGTCTGAAATTCATCTCTCCTGGTTAAAAATCAAGGTGTGGGCAGGGCTGGTCCCTCCTGGATGCTCCAGGGGAGAACGAGTTTCTGGCCTTTCCCAGTGTCTAGAGGCCGCCTGCATCCCTTGGCTCGCGGCCCCTTCCTCCACCTTCAGAGCCAGCAACGCAGCATCTTCCAATCCCTCTCCGACTCTGACCCTCCTGCCTCCTTGTCTGAGGAGCCTGTGATGACACTGAGCCACCACTTAATCCAGACGCACCTCTCATCTCAAGATCCTTAACCTAATCGCTTCGCAAGGTTCAAGACTCCCGTGAGCTCTGACCAGGACACTGTCCTCCAGCCTGGGCCACACAGCTAGGCCTTGTCTCTGAAAGTAAATAAATAAACACACTATGAACTTTAGTAAAGTATCAACATTGCCCTGTTAACTATAACAAATGTATCACTCTAACAAAAGATGTTACTAATAGGGGAAACCAGGTGTGGCGAATAATGGTAACTATTATCTTTGCTGTAATATTTCTGTAAATCTGAAACTGTTCTAAAAAATAAAGTCTACTGATAATATTAATGTCTAGATGAATAAATGAAGTACTTCATTCATTCATCATGGGATGATTATAGTTCCCATATCACAGGGCTATTTCCAGGATTGTGTGGGAGAATGGTACATGAAGCATTTGGCGCGAAGGACACTTTCATTTAGAGCACTTGCCACCATTGTTTGAAACCTAGACAATCCATTAGAGGAGCCACTAGCCCTATGTCGCTATTAAAATTAAAATTAATTAAAAATTAAGTACAATTAAAAATTCAGGCCAGGCGTGGTGCTCCTACCTGGAATCCCAGCACTGTAGGAGGCCAAGGTGGGGGGATTGCTTTAGGCCAAGAGTTCGAGACCAGCTTGAGCAAAAGCGAGATGCCATCTGTACAAAAAACAGAAAAAATAGCCAGGCATGGTGGTGTGCACCTGTAGTTCCAGCTACTTGGGAGGGTGAGGCAGGAGGATCACCTGAGCCCAGGAGTTGGGGGTTGCAGTGAGCTATGACGATGCCACTGCACTCCAGCCTGAGCGACAAGGCGAGACCATAGCTTAAAAAAAAAAATGTAGTTCTTCAGTGGTACCAGCCACAAGCCAGGTGCCAAAAAGCCACAGGGAGGTAGTGGCTACTGAATTGGGCAGTGCTGCTATAGAACATGCCCATCATTGCAGAAAGTTCTACCACACAGCACTGCACTAAACAGCAAAGATTGTAATTATTTGTTCAGTGTTCTCAACTCCTTTGGGTACTTCTCCAATGCTATCTTTGAAACCTTCCTGACTACCCTCTTTCAAACTGTAACCCTCAGCTGGGTGCTGTGGCGTGTGTCCGTAGTCCCAGCTACTCAGGAGGCTAAGGCGAGAGGATGGCTTCTTGAGCCCAGGAGGCTAGCCTGGGCAACACAGTGAGACCCCCCGTTGCTAAAAAACAAAAAACCAAAAACCAAAAAAAAACACAAAAATCACAACTGCAGCCCTCACATTTCCCATGCTTCCTCTCCCCAGCTTATTTTTCTTCTTACCCTTTTCGCCACTTGACGTAGAATCCACTGATTTCTCTTCTGCCTCCCCGTCTGGCACTGCACGGTCCAATGCAGTAGTCACTGGCAACACGTGACTGTTGAGCACTTCTGCAGCCAGTCCAAGTCAAGAGGTGCTACTGAGTGTAAAATACCCACTAGATTTCAAAGGTGTTGGGGGTGGGGAAGAATGCAAAATATCCTGTGTTTTTTTTTATGCTGACATGTTTATTTTTACTTATTTTCTTATTTTATTTATTTGAGACAGAGTGTCACTCTGTGGCCCCAGGGAGAGTGCAGTGGCATCATCATAGCTCACTGCAACCTCAGACTGCTGGGTTCAAGCCATCCTCCGGCCTCAGCCTCTCAGAGTGCTAGGATGACAGGCGTGAGCCACCACCTGGCCTTACATTGACGACAAGTTTAAATAATAACATACTGGGTCAAATCGAACACATTATTAAGACGAACATCACCTGTTTCTTTTGACTCATTTTTTTTTTAAACATGGCCAATTATTTAACACATTTCAATTACACACGTGGCTGACAAATTTGTGTATGGCTTAAAACTTCTCCTGGACAGCTCTGATCAAGAATGTCACCTACTAGACAACTTAGAAGTTGCACGTGTGGCTCGCATATATTTCTAGGGGACAGCGCTGGCCTAGAGTGTCAGCCCGGTAAGAACAGGTATTTTCGTCCGTCCGCTGCCCATACGGCGATTGGCACATAGTGGGCACTCGATAAAAATAAATGAATGGGAGGTCGAGCCTCTACGAACTCGCTCACTCTGATCCGTGGCGCGCTGACCACCACCCCTGCCCCGCCTCCTCACCGCACCAGATGAGTAAACTGAGGCCCAGCGGAGTGACGTCAGCCCTGCCCAACCGCGCGTAACGCGGAAACGTCGGGGTCGGGATTCGAACCCAGGTCCTGACCCCACAGTCCTGGCCTGTTGACCGTTCCTACCTTGCTGGGCAGCGGCGGCGGCGGCGGGGCGGACAGGTGTGGCAGACATGGCGTGCGCTCGACAAGGGGCGCCGCTCCCCCGCTACCGCCTTCCTTCGGCCTCCGGCAGCCGGACCCCGGCGCTCCCCCTCCGCGGCCATCGCTGGCCTCCCGCGTCTCTGCCGGCCGCCAAGCCCTTCGCAGGCGGCGCCGGCAGGAAGTCCCGCCTCTCCCGCGCGCCCCGGGGCGCCTCGACAGCCACATCGACCAATCCGCAGCGCGCCGTGGCGGACGCCGGCCAATGAGCGCACGCGCCGGGGGGGCGTGTCCGGGCCGCGGGCCGGAGCGGGTCGTGCGCGCTGAGGAGGAGCCGCCGCCGCCGTCGCCGTCGCCGCCACCGCCGCCACCGCTACCGAGGCCGAGCGGAGCCGTTAGCGCCGCGCCGCCGCCGCCCGTCCTCCCGCCCCGGAGCAGCCCCGGGCCCGCCCGCCCGCGTCCAGGTGAGGCGGGGGGCCTTCGCCGGCGCTCGACGGGGTAGGCCGCGGCAGGCCTGAGCTCGCCTGGCCGGGCCGCGGGCGCCCGCGGGGCCTGCACCGGCCGAGGCCCAGGCCGCGCCGGGCCGGGGGAGGGGACGCGCGCGGGCCGCAGCGGGAGGGCGGGGGCCGGCCGGTGTGGGCGCCGGCGACAGGCCCCGGGCCGGATTCCTCGGGCGCCGCGAGGGACCGGCGAGGGGGACACGGCGTGGGCACGCGCCTGGGGGCCGGGCTCCGCAGCCGGGGCCCGGTATCCTTGGAAGCGCGGGGTCCGGGGGCGGGAGAGTAGGGCCAGTGGCGGGGGAGTGGGATGAGCGCTTGGAGCGCGCAGAGGTCACGGCCCACGGGTCCGCTCCCCCGGGAAATCCTACAGATTCTTTTGTGGTCGTTGTCAGAGAACCGCGGCCGTTCTGAGGTCCTTTAAGGAGTGTGCAAACCCTTCACTAGGTTCGGGAGTCCCGGAAAAAATATAGACTGTTATTTTATTTTTTGAGCGCCATCTCTAACAAAGCTGTTTGTGGGGCGTGGGACGTTAGGATTTGTAAAATATGTGTGTGTGTTGGAAACACACAAACTGCACGCAATTGAACAATAGGGGATGGATGCTGTTCCTTCCTTTTCCGGTGCCCTCTGCTGCTCGGCTTATTAAAATGGGTTTTGGTCCCTACTGTGTGCAGGTGAGGTGGGGAAGAAGTTCTGCACAACTTCTGCACGAGCTGCCCGTGGAGGCACCGAGCCCCCCTTACCGAAAAGTATTCGTTGGGGATCCGGATGGCCAGTATTCCAGAAGTGGGAAGATGGGGAGGATGATCTAGCTAGAGAAGGGTTTCTCAACCTCAGCACTGCTAACATTTGGGGGCCAGATAATGCTTGGTTGTGGGGGGCTGTCCTGTGCATTGTAGGAAGTTGAGCAGCATCCCTGGCCTCTTCCTTCTAGATGCCAGCAGTATGCCCCCCTTCCTCCTTGTGTAGATCAAAAGTGTTTGCAGACATTGCCAGATGTCCCCTGGGGGGGGTCTCTCATACCTTTCTCTCTCTTTTACACACACACAGACACACACACATGCACACAAGCAGGTGAGAACCACTGCAGAACTAAATGACTTAGTTCAACCAGAAGTTCCTCCAGCACCAACCTGATGCCCTGGGAGATGCTTCCAAGACCTTGAGTGTTGAGGCTTAGTTTTCTTATCTGTGAAACGGGAAGGACAAGAGTATTGTGCAGATTTAAGAGTATGAGGAGCCGACAGCATTGTGCCTGTTCTGCAGGGTAGGCATTGAGTAAGTGATGTTACAAATAATTGCCACTATTTATTGAGAATTTACTGCATGCTTGACACTTCATAGACGTTTGTCTCCAGCCTGTGAGGTAGATACTGTTAAAATTTCCATTTTAGAGATGAAGCTGAGGATTGATAAGACCAGTCTTATGCAGTAAAGTGGCTGGGGCAGGATTTGAACTCGGGCCCTCTGACTCAAAGCCCTTACTCTTCACCACTGGGTTTTGCTGCTTCTGTAATCACAAGGGCCCGGGGTGGCTCGAGAGGAAGTGTTTCATGGAATTACATTCAGTTGTCATTGAGTATCTTCTGTGTGCAGAGCTCTGTGCTGGGATCTGTTATAAAATTCTGCAACTTCAGGGTCCATGAAGAGGCCAAGATTCAACATCGCAAAATGTGGAAGGAAATAGTGTTTATGTTGAAGCACTTGTTTTGGGGGGGCAGAATTTCAGTTTGGATGTGTTGAATCTGAGGTCACGGGCAGAGAGTAGAATATGAAAGAATTATGAAAATACTGGTTTCCTGATCCTGCTAATCTTACTGCTTCTCACTCCTGCTCCCCACCTCTGTCCTCCTTCCACACTCCAGCAAGAGTTGTCTTTTGTAAATGCAGATCTGATTGTGTCACTCTTGATTAAAAGTCTTTGGGCAGAAAAAAAGCAAATTGTGTTAACTTCTTGGGGTGGCGTAAAAGATAAAGTCAGAAGCCAGTTCACACCCTGACCCTCCCGGCCACTGCACACAGACCCCACCAACAGGCCTGGAATGCTGTTCTCTTTCACCTGGAGGTCTGTTTCTCATGCTTCAGGGCTCAGCCCAGAGCTCACTCACCATTTGAAGCCTCCTCTGACTGCCACCCTTCCTCCACCGGCACGTAATCTACCAATCTAGCGTTCCCTCATTTGTGTGGCCCTCCCATTCAGTTCATTGAATGGAGCAAACGCTGAATGGTGAGAGCGGCCGTGCCGCCATTCGCCCCCTAGGTGGCAGCGGTGAGGCGGCTCCGGGCCGCAGGTCGGGGAAGACCGAAGGAAACCAGCCTGCAGAAGGGAAGTGAGTCTCGCTTCCCTCCTTTGAACGACTCTCGCCGCTCTGCTGTTGTGTCCTGGGCCCTGCGCTAGGCTCTGGAGAGGCGACCGTGTACACCACGTGTGTAGATCATTTCAGTCCACTCTGGTGAGTGCAGTGATAATCACGCACTGGTCAGTGTGGCAGCCCAGAGAAAGGACTATTCTCCAAGCCCGGTGGGCACAGGAGACCTCAGAATGCTTCCTGGATGAGGGGAGGCGGGAGAGGTGGGGAAGGGCTTTGCAGGATGCAGGAACGGCACAGGCAAAGGCAGGGTTTGTTCAGAGCCATGTGGGATCTTCAGGGGCGAGAAAGGTGACATGGGCAGTGGCAGGAATCCTCACATGTCTGCTGGGCAGAGGGCTTGGCGGCTACCCTGCAGGCTAGGCGGGGGCAGCTACTGAGCAGTGTGCACCCACTGCTGCCCTGCACAACAGGCAGGCCCAAAGGATGGGTGGCTGGGGGACAGACAAGAACCAACTGAGAGGCTTTTGCAGTGCTGTGGTGGCCCTGAAATGGTTGAATCTCTTGAGGATTGAGACTGGGACTCCTTTATTTTGTATGCCCAGCGCCTTGCTCTGTGCCTGGCACGTGACTCGAATTCCGTCTGTGCCAGGCGAAGGAAGGGTTAGCAGAGAACCTGGAAGTAACTGGGTCCAGCTACCTGTCAAAGAGGCATTTATGCCAGAGGAAGGCTTCACAGGAGAGGGAACAGATCCGAAGAACTCAGTGGCAAGACTGGTGTCACCATGAACAGAGACAGGGAGACAGAAAGGAGTAACTTGGAGGGAAAAGATGAAGTTGGGTGTGCTGGGTTTGAAATATGTGTGTGGCAGGGGGACCACTTAGAAGTTGGTCTAGGCAAGAGGTGACAGATCCAAACGGGGATGATGGCAGAGAGGTGGAAGGAGAGTTGGAGACCAGTCTTGGCTGTCAAACCGGCAGAACTTGGTACTTGATGAGACACAAGGGATATAGAGAGGTGGCTCGGGGACAGGTGGATGTGCCATCAAATGAAGCGATTCAGGGAAAGGAGGAGGTCTGGAGTCGGGTGAGGACAGGAGGAGAGGAGATGAAGGTGTTTGTAACTAGGGAGGGAAGTCAGGAAGTCACACACGTTCACCTTGATTTTGTTCATGAAGGAGGACTAAGGGGACAGGTACTTCATGCCAGGTGCTGTGAAGCAGGTGGTGACATCTTGATTGGAGGAAACTAAAGCTCAGTGAAGGGAAGTGACTTACCCATGATAGCGCTGGAGCTCGGGCTTGTTGGGCTTCAGAGCCCAGGGGCTTTTTCTTCTGTGCAAGTGCCCTGGGGTGGCCTTTGGCCTTGACCAGCCCAAAAGAAGCCAGAACTCTTAGCAGAGCTGCAGGGCACTTGGACTGAGCCAGATGCAGGCCACACCTGACCTGTTTCTCCCCGGGGCTTCTCGGCCTGGCAGGTGGGGAATTGTTGTCACTCCAGCTAGAGCTGCTCCAGCCGGGCGGCTGTCCCTGCCACAGGCTGTGGGCCAGGGCCAGTAAAGGGCCATGCACTGTGTCCACCTGAGCCCTTGCCTCGAGTGGCATTTATAATCGGGTCAGGTGGTCCTTTCAGTCTTTTTCTGGCACCAGAGCGCTTCCTGGATGACCAAAGCCTTCTACCTTGCAGACTCGGAATTTGGCATCTGGAGAGGACCTTGGGAATAATTGAGTCCCAGCCCGTCAGATGAGGCGTGAAGTGTCAAGATTGAGTCTGAAGATGCATTTGACTGTTCTAGTTTTGCTGTAGCTCAAGTAGTTTAGAAAGCCTGCTTCATCGCTAGAAATGAGACCTATTCTCACATGTGCCCAGTGGAAACCACTCGCACTGCTTCACATTTGTACCACCGGTGTGTATTTTATGTCCTCTGTAGAGACACACATCTGTCCCCCTGTATTGTGCCAGGTGTGCTGGAGAGGTGAATGTCACTGACGTCATGCAGATGAGCAGGATGGTTTAAAACTGTGACGGAGTTGGAAACCCTCAGAGATCATCCAAACAGGACTTCTCCCCTCTATTTCCAGTTACCAGAAACATTCCCAGATCAGCAAGAATCATTTTGCTAAACTCGAAGTTTCTCTTTTTGCCCTCTGAAATTAATTCTTTGGGGCGGTGCGTATTGATGATCTTAAGAAAGTAAGGTGCTGAGTGTGTTACTAGGATATCAGGACCATCTCCGACTGGCTTTTTTTTTTAGTCAGAGTCTCACTCTGTTGCCCGGCTAGAGTGCATGGCGTCAGCCTAGCTCACAGCAACCTCAAACTCCTGGGCTCGAGCGATCCTACTGCCTCAGCCTCACAA